GTGTCCTGGGTGGTCCAGGCTTTTCTGCCTGTGCCTCTCTCTGGAACATGGACTCCCAGGACCCCCTTCCTGCCGTGAGTGTTTCCTTGTGGGTATCCCCATTTTTTGTTTTTGTTTTAATTTGAAGTGACAGTGGGCAGCAAACATTTGGAGCAGGTGTTAGGGTTGGAATCTCACTTGGTTCTAGTGTGAGGTTATGGTCAGGGCTGGAGTTGAATTTTGGACTGGGGTTAAGATTAAGGTCAGTTTCATGTTTAAGAGCCCTTCTTCTGTAGAGTTCCCCCTGAACATCCCCCTGTGAGGCTTGGTTATGAGCCCCTCCACCCCAGGCTGTGTTAGTTGAACCATCTGAGGCTGCGGCAGACCCTTAGTGAGTGCCAGAGCTGCTCTCAAGGCCACTGCAGAGAAGTGTGTGTTGAGTAAGTAACTGGGCCAGTGGAATGGGTAGGGTCGGAGTCCAGGGTCAGGTCAGGGGAGAACTGTGGTAAGGTTTGGGGTTTACATAAGGGGCAACAGATACTTCTGGTTTGGGCTGGTGCTTTGGATGTGGCCCTTAGTGTTGGAGGGCCCTGGTTTGTGCATGTGTGGGGCCTCCTCTTCTACCTTAATTGTCTTAACCGTGGGAAAGCTGCCTAGGAGCTCTGCGCCTCAGTTTCTCTTAAGTGAAACATGGTCTCTTACAGTCATTTGCATCCCCTTCCGCCTGTGGCCTCCTGTGGCATTTGATCCTGGGTGGGGCTGGACTCTGGCCGGTGGCCTTGGTCTAGTTGCTTGGAGGGAGGGTGGGAAGGCCCCATCTGCCCCTCGTCTGTGTGCTGTGGACAGATACCCCAGGGCTCTTGGGGTCACCATGGTTGTGAGTTACTGGCCATCCAACCCAGGTGTGCTTGCTCGGTTGGGGTTAGACACACGTCCCTGAGTGGTAAGGAGCAGGCATCTGTGTCAGTTCATCCTGATGTGGTCACCAGCTCTGTGGGCCAACACCACCCTGACCTGCTCAGGTGTCACACAGACACTAGGGCACCACCCTGACCTGCTCAGGTGTCAGACACTAGGGCACCACCCTGACCCGCTCAGGTGTCAGACACTAGGACACCACCCTGACCCGCTCAGGTGTCACACAGACACTAGGGCACCACCCTGACCCGCTCAGGTGTCACACAGACACTAGGACACCACCCTGACCCGCTCAGGTGTCAGACACTAGGACACCACCCTGACCCGCTCAGGTGTCAGACACTAGGACACCACCCTGACCCGCTCAGGTGTCACACAGACACTAGGGCACCACCCTGACCCGCTCAGGTGTCAGACACTAGGGCACCACCCTGACCCGCTCAGGTGACACAGAGACACTAGGACACCACCCTGACCCGCTCAGGTGTCACACAGACACTAGGGTGACACCGCCAGATTGCCCTGAGCACAGGCAGCATATTTGTCAGGATTTAATACAAGCCCCTTATCTCAATTTGCCCTCTCAACAATCTCCCAAGAAGTGATTATTAGACTGTTTTACAGAGAAGGAAACTGAGGCACAGAGGGGGTTACTTCAGACGTGATTGATTCAGGGTCTGCCCTTGTCACTCTCATGCTCTGTGTACACATTTGCTCCAAGGACATGACAGTCATGACTTGCTACATCCTATCCCCACTGGGGTCCCAGAGTGGGGCCTGTACACGTAAGAGGAACTGGAAGGAGGTGCTGCCTTCTCTGGTGGGAAGGTGCCACCCGGTGGGATCTGGTAGACTGGGACCTGTGTGACCCTTCAGGGGACAGGATAACTTGCTGCCTCTTGACAGCCCTGCTTGCCCCGTCTAGACTGACAGGCCTGGGGGGCGGAATTGGTATCCCACAGTGCTTTTGATGAGTACCTTGGGGAACTGCTTCTCCAGGGTGGTGTCGTGCCCATGAGAACACACCTGTGCCTGGGAGTGTGTGCCTGAGAGAGGGTAAGAGACAGTGTGGACCCAAAGAGTGGCCTGACGTGACAGAGGCAAGGAAGCAGAGGTGACCACTTCTAGGCCAGAATGATTCAGTAGCATTTTGTATATTCACAGTGTTGTGCAGCCAATTCTATTGAATTCCAAAACATTTTCATCACCACAAAATAAGACCTTGGACACATTAAGCAATAATTCTGCATTAATTACCCTCTCCCTCCAACTCTGTCAGCCATTAACGTACTTTCGTCTCTGTGGACTATAGATTTACTTATTCTTGATATTTCATGTCAATGGAATCATATAATATGTGACACTTAGTGTCTGGCTGCTTTTACTCAACATGTTTTTGAGCTTCACCTTGTAGGATATATCACTACTTCATTCCTTCTTATGGCTGAATAATATTTCACTGTTGGTATAAATGACATTTTGTTTATGCATTCATCTGTCAATGGAGATGTGGGTTGTGTCTACCTTTTGACTATTTTGAATATGGCTGCTATCAACATGTGTGTACATTACTTGTTTGAATACCTATTTTCAATCTCTTAGATATATACCTAGGAATGGAATTTTGGAATCATATGATAATTCTATGTTTAACTTCTTGAGGAATTGCCAAACTGTTTTCCACCATTTTGCATTCCCACCAGTGATGTAAGAGGCTTCCAATTTGTTCACATTTTCTTTTTTTTTTTTTTTGAGACGGAGTCTCGCTCTGTCGCCCAGGCTGGAGTGCAGTGGCCGGATCTCAGCTCACTGCAAGCTCCGCCTCCCGGGTTCACGCCATTCTCCTGCCTCAGCCTCCCGAGTAGCTGGGACTACAGGCGCCCGCCACCGTGCCCGGCTAGTTTTTTGTATTTTTTAGTAGAGACGGGGTTTCACCGTGTTAGCCAGGATGGTCTCGATCTCCTGACCTCGTGATCCGCCCATCTCGGCCTCCCAAAGTGCTGGGATTACAGGCTTGAGCCACCGCGCCCGGCCTGTTCACATTTTCAACAGTTGTTCCTATCCTTTTTTTTTTTTTTTTTTTTTTTGACTATAGCCATCCTAGTAAGTGTGAAATGGTATTTCATTGTGGTTTTGACTTGTATTTCCCTAGTGACTAATGATGTTCTGCATCTTTTCTTTTGTTTTTTTTTGTTTTGAAACGGAGTCTCGCTCTGTCGCCCAGGCTGGAGTGCAGTGGCCGGATCTCAGCTCACTGCAACCTCCGCCTCCCGGGTTCACACCATTCTCCCGCCTCAGCCTCCTGAGTAGCTGGGACTACAGGCGCCCGCCACCTCGCCCGGCTATTTTTTTCTGTATTTTTTAGTAGAGACAGGGTTTCACTGTGTTAGCCAGGATGGTCTCGATCTCCTGACCTGGTGATTCGCCCGTCTCGGCCTCCCAAAGTGCTGGGATTACAGGCTTGAGCCACTGCGCCCGGCCTCTACATCTTTTCATGTGCTTATTGGGCATTTGTGTATCTTCTTTGGAGAAAAGTCAAGTCCTCTGTCCATTTTTAAATTGGGTAAGGGTTCTTTATATATTCTGAATACTAAACTTGTATGGAATATGTGATTTGTAAATATTTTCTCTGTAGAATAGGAGATCCTTGTCACTTTTTTGTTAATGTCTTTTGATATTCAAGAATTTTTAATTTTGATAAAGTTCAAGGTATTTATTTTTTTCTTTTGTTATTCATGCTTTTGGTGTCATAGGTCATGAGGGTTTATCCTCTAGGTTTTCTTCTAAGAATTTTACAGTTTTCACTCCTATGTTTAGGTTACTGATCCATTTTAAGTTAACTTTTGTTTATGGTGTGAGGTAGGGAGCCATCTTCATTCTTTTGCATATGAATATCCAATTGTCCAGGACCATTTGTTGAAGAGACTATTCTATTCCCATTGAATGGTCTTGGCACCCTTGTTGAAAATGAATTGATCCTAGATATGTGGGTTTATTTGGACTCTCAATTCTATCCCAGTGGTCTACATGTATATTCTTATGCCAGTACCACATGGTTTTGATTATTGCAGCTTTGTAGTAACTTTTTATTTTTATTTTTTTGGAGATGGAGTATTGCTCTTGTACCCAGGCTGGAATGCAATGGCGCAATCTCAGCTCACTGCAACCTCCACCTCCCAGGTTCAAGCAATTCTCCTGCCTCAGCCTCCAAAGTAGCTGGGATTACAGGTGTGTGCCACCATGCCCAGCTAATTTTTGTATTATTGGTAGAGATGGGGTTTGTCCATATTGGCCAGGCTGGTCTCGAACTCTTGACCTCAGGTGATCCACCCACCTCCATCTCCCAAAGCATTGGGATTACAGGCATGAGCCACTGCACCCACCATGTAGTAACTTTTGAAATCAGGAGGTTTGAGTGCTTCAGCTTTGTTCTTCTTATTTGTACTTGTTTTGGCTAATCATGGCCCCTTGCAATTCCATATAGATTTGAACATTGCTTTTCTATTTGTGCAAAAAGGGACATTGGAATTTTGCATTGAATCTGTCAATCACTCTAGGTGACATTAACATTTTAACACCATTGTCTTCCAATTAATGAACATGGGATGTCCTTTTATTTATTTAGGTCATCTCTAAGCAGTGTTTTGTCATTTTCAATATATAGATATTTTACTTCCTTAGTTAAATTTATTCTTGAGTATTTTCTTCTTTTGGATGCTATTATAAATGGAATTATCTTCTTAATTTCCTTTTTGGATTGTTCATTGCTGGTGTATAAAAACAAGTGATTTTTTGGTGCTGATCTTCTGGCCTACAACTTTGCTGAATTTATTTATTAGCTCTAGTAGCTCTTTTGGTGTATTCTTTGGGATTTTCTATATATAGGATCACGCCATCTGCAAATAGACATAGTTTTACTTCTTGTTTCCCAATTTGGGTACTTTTTTTTTTTTTTTTTTGCCTGTCTAGAACTTTCAGTACAGTGTTAAATACCAGTAGTGAAAGCAGGCATCTTTGCCTTGTTCCTGATCTTAGGGGGAAAGCATTCAGTCTTTCACCATTGCGTATGATGCTATCTACGTGTGTGCTTTTTTGTTTGTTTTTTAAATATGGAATGCTTCACGAATTTGCATGTCATCCTTGTGCAGAGGACATGCTAATCTTTGTGTCATTCCAATTTTAGTATATGTGCTGCTGAAGCAAGCACTTCGGATTTTTAATAAATTTCCTTTATTATGTTGAGGAAGTTACTAGCCTCTATTACTAGTTTCCTGAGTGTTTTTATAATGAAAGAGTTTGGGATCATGGCAGATGCTTTTTATGCATCAATTGATATGATCATGGTTTTTTCCCCCCTTTTCTCTATTAATGTGATGTATTATATGGATTACATTAGTGTGTAGATTTCTTTTCCTGTAGTGCCCTTATCTGGCTTTGGTATCAGTGTAATACTGGCCTCATGAAATGAGGGAGTGTTCCCTCCTCTTCTGCTTTTTGGAAGAATTTGAGAATTTGTGTCAATTCTTTAAATTTCTAGTTGAGTGCACCAGTGATGCCATCTGGTGGTGGACTTTTCTTCGTTGGGAGGCTTGTGGTTAAGGATTCAATCTCTTTGCTTGTTATAGGTCTGTTTAAATTTTCTATTTCTTCTTGAGTCAGTTTTGGTAATTTGTGTTTTTCTAGAAATTTGTCTACCTCATCTAGCTTTCCTATTTGTTGGCATATAATTGTTCATAGTATTATATTCCTTTTTAACTTCTGTAATACTGGTAGTAAGTCCCCAAATTTCATTTGTGATTTTAGTTATTTCTGTCCATCTTCTCTCCTTACTAGTCAATCTAGCTAAAGGTTTGTCAATGATGTTGATATTGTCAAAGAAACAACCTTTTATTTCCTTGATTCTCCACTGTTTTTCTCTTTTCTTTATCTCTGCTCTAATCTTACTGTTTCCTTCCTTCTGCTTGCTTTTCTTTCTTTTGCTCGTTTGGTTTGCTCTTTCTCTTGTTTGCTTGTTTGTTTGTTTCTTTTTGGTCGTCTTTCTGTAGTCCGTCCGTCCCTCCCTTGCTTCCTTCCTCTTTCTTTTGTTTGCTCTTCTTTCTCTAGTTTCTTCTTTTCTTCTCTCTCTGTGTTTTGTTTTGTTTTGTTTTGTTTTTTTTCTTGGAGATAGAGTTTCTCTCTTGTTGCCTAGGCTGGAGTGCAATGGTGCAATCTCAGCTCACCGCAACCTCGGCCAACTGGGTTCAAGCGATTCTCCTGCCGCAGCCTCCCGAGTAGCTGGGATTACAGGCACCCGCCACCATGCCCAGCTAATTTTGTATTTTTCTTTTCTTTTTTTTTTTTTTTTTTTGAGACGGAGTCTCGCTCTGTCGTCCGGGCTGGAGTGCAGTGGCCGGATCTCAGCTCACTGCAAGCTCCGCCTCCCGGGTTTACACCATTCTCCTGCCTCAGCCTCCCGAATAGCTGGGACTACAGGCGCCCGCCACCTCGCCCGGCTAGTTTTTTGTATTTTTTTAGTAGAGACGGGGTTTCACCGTGTTAGCCAGGATGGTCTCGATCTCCTGACCTCGTGATCCACCCGCCTCGGCCTCCCAAAGTGCTGGGATTACAGGCTTGAGCCACCACGCCCGGCCTAATTTTGTATTTTTCAGAGACAGAGTTTCTCTGTGTTGGTCAGGCTGGTCTTGAACTCCCGACCTCAGGTGATCTGCCCACCTCAGCCTCCCAAGTGCTGGGACTACAGGCATGAGCCACCGTGCCCAGTCTCTTTTCTTTAATTTGTTCATTCATACAGACAAGGTCTCACTATGCTGCTAGGCTGGTCTTGAACTCCTGGGCTCAAGTGATCCTCCCGCTTTGGCCTCCCAAAGTGTTGGGATAACAGGCATGAGCCACTGAGCCTGGCCTTCTCTTGTTTCTTTTTTATTTCTTCTTTTTTTTTCTTGAGATGGAGTTTCACTCTTGTTGCCTAGGCTGGAGTGCAATGGCGCAATCTCGGCTCACTGCCACCTCCACCTCCCGGGTTCAAGCAATTCTCATGCCTCAGCCTCCTGAGTAGCTGGGATTACAGGCATGCACCACCACACCTGGCTAATTTTTGTATTATTAGTAGAGACGGGGTTTCTCCATGTTGGTCAGGCTGGTCTCGAACTCCCGACCTCAGGTGATCTGCCTGCCTCGGCCTCCCAGAGTGCTAGGATTACAGGCGTGAGCCACCGTACCTGGCCTTCTCTTGTTTCTTAAGATGTATAATTAGGTTATTGATTTGAAATTGTTCTCCTTTTTAAAAGTAAGTGTTTACAGCGTTAAATTTCCCTTTAAGCACTGCTTTTGCTCCATATGTTGTATTTTTGTTCTTGTTTGTCTTAAAGTGTTTTCTAATTTTCCTTATCATTTCTTTCTTTCTTTTTTTTTTCTTTTCTTTTTTTTTTTTTTTTTAGAGATGGGATCTTACTCTATGGCCCAGGCTGGAGTGCCCTGGCTTGATCATAGCTCACTGCAGCCCCAACCTCCTGGTCTCAAGCCGTCCTGCCACCTCAGCTTCCTGAGTAGCTGGAACTACAGGGTGCAGCACCACACCTGGCTATTGTTTTCTATTTTTTATAGAGATGGGGGTGTCACTATGTTGTCTAGGCTGGTCTCAAACTCCTGGCTTCAAGTGATCCTCCTGCCTTGACCTCCCAAAGTGCTGGGATTACAGGCTTAAGCCACCATGCTCAGCCTGATTTTTTTTTTGACACTGGTTGTTTAGGAGTATGGTGTTTAATTTCCACATATTTGTGAATTTTTCAGTTTTCTTTCACTTCTCGATTTCCAGCTTTGTTTTGTTGTGATTGAAAAATATACTTTGTATGATTTCAGTCTTTTAAAACTTTATTGAGACTTGTTTTGCAGTTATACAGTCTGTCTGGAAGAATGTTCCATGTGTACTTGAGAAGAATTCTTGAATATATTCTGCCCTTGTTGGGTGGCATGTTCTGTATGTATCGTTAAGTCTAATTGGTTTAAGTCTTCTATGTCCTCATTGATCTCTCCAGATGTTCTACCCATTATTGAAAGTAAGATATTAAAGTCTCTTACTATTATTGTGGAACTGTCTATTTCTCTCTTAAATTGTGTTGTTTGTATCATATTTTGATGTTCTGTTGTTCGGTTTGTATATGTTAATAATTGTTAATCAACATACAATGTCTTTCTCTGTCTCTTGTTACAGTTTTTATCTTAAAGTTTATTTTGTATGATATTAATATAACCACCCAGCTCTCTTTTGGTTACTATTTACAGTACATTACTTATTTTATCCTTTCACTTTGAACCTATTTGTGTCTTTGGATTTAAAGTGATTATTTTGTAAGTAGCATATAGCTTGTTCATACTTTTTAATCACTATCTGCTTTTTAAGTAAAATTCTGTGGAACACAAACACACCTATTTGCTTATGTGTTGTTTGTGGTGGTTTTCATACTGCGGTGGCAGAGTTGAGTCATTGCAACACAGACTATATAGCTTGCAAAGCCTTAAGTAGTTACTGTCCAATTCTTTCCAGAAAAGGTTTGCTGATCCCTGGTCTAGAATGTCTTTTATAGTTTCCCTGGTTATAGTTAACTACAAATGGTCCTGTTCAGCAGTAGTCTGGTGAGATTTGTCACATGTAGCCTGTTTTGTCTCTCCTGAAGCTTGTGAAATGCAGTTCTTAGAGCATATCTGAGCGTCCTCAAGGCCTCATTCGGCTGAGAGGAGAAGCAGGCTTCTACCTCTGAAGCTAGGGTGAGAGGCAGTTTGACTGGGATGTGGCCTTTTAATGGTAGCTTCATTTGTAGGGTGGCCAACTCCTTTGGTTTGCCTGGAACCAAGGCAGTTCCTGGAACATAGGATTTAGTTTTAACATCTGGAAAGCCTGGGCAAACTGGAGAAGTTGGTCACCCAGCTGGCTTTTCAGAGTCTTACCTATGCCCCCTTACCCCAGTACCATTCAGGGAAACCCCCAGCTATGCAAAGCGGCGGCGACTGGCTGGCCCCAGTGGCTTGGCATCCCCTCGGCCTCTGCAGCGCTCAGCCAGCGATATCAACCTGAAGGGGGAGGCACAGCCAGCAGCTTCTCCTGGACCCTCGCTGAGAAGCCTCCCCCACCAGCTGCTGCTCCAGCGGCTGCAAGAGGAGAAAGATCGTGACCGGGATGCCGACCAGGAGAGCAACATCAGTGGCCCCTTAGCAGGCAGGGGCAGCCAGAGCAAGATCAGGTAGGAGGGGGCTGGGAGGCCCTGGAGGTGTGGGGAGGGTGGGGTGCTGGGACCTGGGCCAGGAGGAGCCAGCACTGGGAGGCAGAGAGAGGCCTGGTGGTGCCTAGCACCTGTGTAGTGATGGGCTAGGGCTTCCTTGTCGGGGAAGGGAAGAAGGCATCTCTGGAGGTGGGGACAGGCACATTCACGCTGGTTTGCGGTTGGAGCTGGGCTTGCCATGAGGACAGTGGGCAGTTGAGGGAGTGTTAGGTGGAGAGGGTACGTTCCCACCTCTGATTTAGAAAACTCACTGCAGTGTCAAACATGGCTGGGAAGAGTCAGGGCTGGTGGTCTGTGGTAGGAGGGTCAGGGATGGAGTTGCCATTCCTGGAGGGCTCAAAATCTACAGGTAAGCCCCACCCTGCCCTCAGGGTATAGTCATGGTTTCTCCCAGCCCTGGTGCACCTACAGGACTCTGTGGCTTCTTTTCTTTACCCTCACCCTGAGGCCTGGGTCCCTGAGGCAGGGATGCCTGGACTGGAGCCCACTGGCCTCTATGGGCTGTGCATTGGGTGCTGAGGTGGGCACTGGCTCTCAGCCACTTTGTGCCTGGGCTTCTCATCAGTAAGTGGGAATAATCCTACCCAAGTCATTGTCTTTGGGAAGCCTTCCAGAATGCCCTGGGCAGGTGAGGGATCACCTGGCAGAGCCTAGCAACTACCGGTGAAAGCACCTGCCCTCCCTGTGCTTTGAAGGCAGACACTGTCTTTCTCGTTTCCTAGTTTCATCAGAGCCAGGCACTGAGGAGGGTGTTTGGCAGACATTGTTGAGTGAAAGAGTTACATAAACAGTATGTTGTTGTCAGGATGGCCGCCGGCCTTTACAGTTCTGTCAGTCCCTGCCCGCTGTTGGGCTGAATGGCATGTGTATACTAGCTTGCTTAACCTTGACGACGTACATGTTCATGCTCTATTATTACCACGTTACAGAT